AAAATACTTTGATAATTAGTTATATATTTCACATGTATGCAAAAAGTGCATAAATGTCTAACACCACTTTGTAAGTGTTATGTGTGCACCTGTTCACCAGCTATTAGTATTTCATCCAACAGGAGTTACAAACTTGTCATTGGGGAGTTCCTCTCCACTCACTTCAGGACGTTCATCACACGAAGGTCACACCGAAACTCCACCAGCTGCTCCTTATCAACACTCAACCTTTCAATGGAGCCTTCTGCCAGTTACAGGAGGAAGTGTTGTTAAACAGAGGAGAGGGGTATGTGTTTCTTCACTGGCAACAACCTTGCACTGGCAACATTCAAACACCTGTCTTCTTCTCAACCTCTCTCTTGTTTATACCATGTAGTGTGATGGTTTTACTGGAATAACAAGCTTGACCTAACCCTAACCCTGACCCTAACCCTATCAAGATAGGGAAAATATGTCATGTATTAACCAGTACCCTGGTGATAACACAAAAAGCGTTTGGGTGACTTTTTAAACCCTCTGATATTCCCCACTAAACAAACCAGAAATGTTAGAAATGCATGACCATAGGGGGAAAACAACTATTTTCAATAATCCAATATTATCGGACAGCTAAAACAGTGAGCTAAGAACTAAGACAGATACTGTATTTGTCAGACTTTTTCTTCTTCTGGACTAATAAATAGCAAACAACTACCTGGACCTCCCGAAACCTGCTTCTCCTCGTCTCCATTAGAGAGCAAGACTTGTGCTCCACATTGCAGAAAACAAAGGTTTTCCTGAATTAAATAAATCGATAAGTGCTTCCTTCACTGTGATATCATCTTTGAACTGCAAAATCCTGGATATACTATACTTTTCAAAGACAGCACAGTTGACATGCTTAAGGCAACAGGTGCAGTGAGCTGAGGCCCCTTTGTACTCTGAGCATCTGTATTATAGCCAGGAGCGTTCTGCAGGTATTTTTGGGGAAGAACTACATGAGGCTTTCACTGTTTCTATGGCTGTGACTATTGAAAACCCCTTTGAAGCTTGATGCGCTGAGTTCACTGAGTTCAGAGTTGAAATATATTTTACTTCAAGCACTTGGAGTTGTTGGCACCATTGCATGCATATGGCAATATAACAATGTCAGCAAAACAATGAGACAACAATGTTGCAAAGAGAATGAGGATTAATACCTAAAGCGCCTGAAATTGGGAAGCAAAAATAATGCCAACACACTCAGACCAAGATTAACTGCAACTAACAAGGACACAATATATTTAATATTTAAAATGCTAAGGAGAGACCATCCATCCATCAATCTTCTCCCGCTTATCCGTGTTCGGGTCGCGGAGGTAGCAGTTCCAGCAGAGAGCCCCAGATGTTCCTTTCCCTGACCACATCAACCAGCTCTGACTGGGGGATTCCAAGGCGCTCCCAGGCCATCGAAGAGATATAATCCCTCCACCTGGTCCTAGGTCTACCCCTTGGTCTTCCCAGCTGGACGTGCCTGAAACACCTCCCTAGGGAGGCGCCCAGGTGGCATGCTTACTAGGTCCTTACTGTCTACCGGGCCAAAAATGGCCAGGTAGACAGGGAGCTTTGCCTTCTGGCTCAGCTTCTTTTTTTTCATTACAATGGTGCAGTAAAGCGACTGCAATACCGCTCCTGCTGCTCCGATTCTCCGGCCCATATCATGCTCCATTGTAATCTCTCTCGAGAACAAGACCCTGAGATACTTGAACTCCTTCACTTGGGGTAAGGAGCCATTCCCTACTTGGAGTGGACAGTCCATCGGTTTCCTGCTGAGAACCATGGCCTCAGATTTGGAGGTGCTGATCCTCATCCCAGCCGCTTCACATTCGGTTGTGAACCGATCCAGTGAGTGCTGAAGGTTGCAGACTGATGAAGCCATTAGAACCACATCATCTGCAAAAAGCAGTAGTGCAATCCTTAGTCCACCGAACTGCAGACCCCCTCCCCCACGACTACGCCTCGAATTCCTATCCATGTATATTTCAAACAGGATTGGTGACAAAGCGCAGCCTTGGCGGAGGCCAACCCTCACCGGAAATGGGTCCGACTTACTACCGAGGACCCGGACACAGCTCTCGCTTTGGGAGTACAGAGATTGGATGGCCCTGAGTAGAGACCCCCTCACCCCATACTCCCGCAGCACCTCCCACAGTGACTCCCTGGGAACCCGGTCATACGCCTTCTCCAAGTCTACAAAACACATGTAGACTGGATAAGCGTACTCCCAGGCCCCCTCCAGGATCCTTGCGAGAGTAAAAAGCTGATCCGTCGTTCCACGACCAGGACGGAATCCGCATTGTTCCTCCTCAATCTGAGGGTCGACAATCGGCCTGACCCTCCTTTCGAGTACCTTAGAGTAAACTTTCCCGGGGAGGCTGAGTAGTGTGATGCCTCTATAATTGGCACAAACCCTCTGATCCCCCTTTTTGAAGAGGGGAACCACCACCCCGGTCTGCCACTCCTTCGGTACTGTTTCCGACTTCCACGCAACGTTGATGAGACGTGTCAACCATGACAGTCCCTCAACACCCAGAGCCTTCAGCATTTCTGGGCGGATCTCATCTACCCCCGGGGCTTTNTGGAGCTTTTTAAAGCATGTTTGACAAATGCATGGCCTGTGATGTGGCTTCATGTTGACACAACATCTGCTCCAGTTCAAAGACTCTAATTTAGCTCAGTACACACACACACACACACACACACACACACACACACACACACACACACACACACACACACACACACACACACACACACACACACTTATAAAAGAAAAACGCTCACAGTTCCAAATCCAGAACAACCCTCAATACTGCAATAACATCTCTGTTGTACTATGAAGTATCATGTATAAGTCTTAGTTGGGGATTTTCAGGCTTTAGGGGAATCAAAGACAGGCAGGTAAGCTATCTGTCAGGCCTGAGGACAATTTGACAAACAGGAAGACTTTGGTGACGCCATCCCTGTTTCTCTCCCGAAAGGGGAGAGTGCTGTAAATGATGGAAGGTGACAAAATAAAACGTGGGGAAAAGGAGAAAAGAAAGAGGTAGCTGAAGGGAAGTGTGAAGAGGGGATGATGGAAAGACAAGAATGAGGCGAAGGAGAGAGAAATGAAAAGAAAGAGGCCATTAATTTAGTGCTGTGGGAGGGATCTGAAGGTTACTGAGCTCTCTCTGCCAGGCCCTCCTGGGTTGACTGATGCCTTTGTGAGGAAGCCAGGAACCACACACACACACACACACACACACACACACACACACACACACACACACACACACACACACACACACACACACACACACACACACATGCACGTTCCAAGGAACTCTGGGTTTATTGCGGCAAGCCAGTTTCAGCAAAATAGACACACACACAGATGGCTATTAATGAGCATCAAAGGGAGAGCAAAATGGGAAACCTTTATTTATTTCCTCTCCTGGATTTGCTGTGATGCGTCTGAAAATGTGGTGACTCCGTGTTTTTCTCAGCTGTGGTGGGAAATCAGAGCAGAGTGTACAGAATGTTTGGACCCTGGGTGTGTGTTTGACAAAGTATTTTGGGATACCGTGTTTGTCTGTGCACATATGCACACAGTCAGCGATTCAGGCCTTATTAAAGGGCCAGTAAGCAATGTGTTCAGCGACAATAAATATGTATTTCTTATTGGTTTAATTTATTTCTTAATAACAAATCTTCAATAGAGGTCTCTGCTACCCTGGAGTCTCAATTCAGAGCGCAGGTAAAGCCCTTTTCTCCATTCTATAGGGGGCTGTAACTGGACATTAAATCAGAATTTATACTTTGTTCTCAAGACTTTGCTCCAATCTTTGCCTTATTACTTTGTTTTTTTTTTATTTACTGCTTTGGCTGCTAAGGAGAGAAATTAAAATGAGTCTTTGGCTAACTGCTCTCCAAACACGGATATGTTTAACAACTGACGAGGGGCCTCAAGTATACATTGCTTTCATTGCACAAGTCCAGTAAATTATGACACATCAGGCCAGTAATAAATCATTGGCAGCTACAAAAAGGGCTGGAACCAAAGATTATTGTCTTTATTGGATAATCTGCAGATTATTTTCTAGATTATTGGATTTATCTGTATAAATCTCTAAATTATCAGAACATGTTAAAAATGTCCATTCCTGCTTGAGGGTTAGGGTTATGTCTTGTTTTGACAGTCCAAAACTTAAAGAAACGTAATCAGGAAATCTAAATGTCCTGTATCGTAGATGAATATTACACAATGTTTTATGCTCTCAGAAGGTTTGTGAAGTCTAATTTCAACATGGTGACGTAGTGTGTGTAGCTGTATGGATTGTATTAGGGTTTAGTTTACAGTACACAGCTCGTTGGAGCGCTGTCAAAGAGCTGCATGACCAGAACAATTAAGCTAAATGCTAAGACAGAAAACAGTATATGAACATGAATTAGTAAAGCGGCCTGATATTCAGATTGAAGTTGTGTTGTGCATTTTCTTAGTAGTACTCTAGCCTATTTACCTTGTGTCAGACTTAAAGGGCAATCCTTAAGAGTTCATCCATCCAATATTTCAAACTAATCTGCTGTCAGAATATGACAAATAAATTACAATTGTCTTTTTTTTAAGAGCAATTTTTTATGAAAAATAATGGTCATATCACTGCATAACATTTCTTGTGACTACTTCATCATTGAGTAGAATTGTTATTTGCTAGTTAAATGCTTTTGTATTTAGGCAGTAGTTAAAAAGGAGCAGAAAAACTATCAGTTTTAATATTAAGCTGGTTTTGGCGTTTTGGCCCGAAAACAGAAAGCACCAGCGTCAGCGTGTGTTTACCTGCGCATTGTATACGTTCAAATTCATGAAATGACAAGCAAAAGATTAGAAAATTAGCAACGTGGGCAAATACCTGCGACATTTGTTTGTATGAATTCCAATAACGGAAAGTAATTTTTCTTAAGTGTAAGATGCTAAACCCTCTCTTCCTCTGTGTTTGCAGGCGTCCAGGGCAGCGCTGAGTGTTCGTGCGGACGGAGCCACTTTACATGTGCGGTCAGTGCGTTTGGCGAGTGTACCTGCATCCCGGCCCAGTGGCAGTGTGACGGAGACAACGACTGCGGGGACCACAGTGACGAGGACGGATGCAGTGAGTCGCAATCCTTCCTCCTCCTCCTCACTTCCCTTCCTTCTGTCTTTGTTTCTATTTAACTGTGACCATAGATGTATTGACTCTGAATTGGTCCAATTTGCAACTTGATCAGTTGTACGTGTTTACTGGCTTTGATGTTATTGCTTGATCCGTGTATCTGCTCTTAGTTTACTACGTCTCTTTGATCAAGTTTAAATTGACCAATCGGTGACCAGCGAAATTCTGCATTCCTCAAAGATGTGTGTCTGATTTCTTAACTTTTGTCGTAATTGATTAGAGAACCCTATGTGCGATCTGTCAGCCTTTCATTGAAGGTTACTAAAAGCTTTTCTTTCTTTTTAACTTTCCTTGATTAATGTTTACATAGTTTTCCAGAAAACCATCTGTTTTATCTAAAAATAAATAGCCAAACTTCTCAAATGATAAATGATGCATGAACACAAGCATCTGTGCATGATTTTTGTAAACAAAAAAAAAGACTCTAAAATAAAGTCTGATTAAAAAAAGAAGTAAAAGAGATTATAAATCAGTCCACAGAGTGGTATTAACTTTCATATGTGACAGTTAGAGATACTCAGACACATGTCGGTCAGGACCAAAACAGAATTAAAGTTGTTTACACAAATTTAGATTGTAGTCGTTGTATTAAACTTATTTTGGGGTATTTACGAATGGTTATTAAATTGGTAACAAATTGGTTAAATTGGTTGCTTGCTAAACCAGCCTGGAAAAATGGTTGTTAATAGTCGAATAGATCAGCAGTTCTTCCCTTGAGCAAGGCCTTAAACTCTCACTACTCAACCCAGATTTTGGTTGTGTTTTGCAAATGTGTGAAAGTGCATGACTTCGGAATTTTGCTAGAAAGATACAACAGGTTTTTTTTGGGAAAACGCAGTTTAGAATAGGAGGAAAACATATAATTGGGCCCGTATGGACATCATCATCACCCAGTGAAACAGTGAGCGGGTCACTGGTCCAGGCGGGGTAGTATTTCTGATGCAGAGACTCTGCGTGGTGTATGCCCCGTGCAGAAAAATGCTTGAGTGACTTTTGGCAGCAGACAGCGTTTGGCTGGAGGGATTTCTTGGCAGTAGAGCCAGACAGGAGTATTTTCCTACAGAGAATGTCAGTTTGTCAAGTGGAGGAGATCTTCACCGCTCCTCTTTTACAGTTCTGTGTATCAATGTGAAATGTCTGTGTGAGGGTCCCGGTCTCCTTCTTTTTTCCTTTTCCTGCTCAGTTATAGATTAGGGAAGCAGATGCTGCCCTTTTGTTTGACACTTCCTAAGCCTCTTTGAGAGGTGTGTGTGTGTGTGTGTGTGTGTGTGTGTGTGTGTGTGTGTGTGTGTGTGTGTGTGTGTGTGTGTGTGTGTGTGTGTGTGTGTGTGTGTGTGTGTGTGTTGATGTTCTGTCTCCATCAGTCTTCCTGTGTCACATTAAGCTAGTTAGGGGTTGGGAGAGGGGATGCTAAGTGTTATTGATCTCTGGCCAGTTGAATGTTCAGTCAGCCTGATCGCCCCATATCGATCTACACTACGTTAGTTATTTAAGGAGACACATGGAAGCAGCTGACAGATATCAGAGCGTCTAGCTGGACCTTTCTAATCCATTAGTACTGTCTGATCGATCCTCTGCTCAAGCGCTGGACGCTCATCCTCTTGAACTCACTGTAGTCAATCTCGTAACCATGGAGCTCATATCACAGAGATTAATGTTGTTGTTATAGCAGCCAGACATTGAAAGCTACAGATATAACCCTTCAGTATTCAGTCCCACAATGTCCTACTACCTCCTCAACTCTTTCAAATATTTTAACCATTGGTGTCCAGATCAACTTCACCCATTTATTTAAACATATTTCAGAGAAAACTCAAATTGATGCGTCCTCGGATACACATTTTTAAGTTTTGAACAGCTATGGCAATGAAATATGTCCAGAATGTGAGGCTTTTCTCAGTTTCATATTACATGTTTTGAGTTTTGGTCTTTTAGTAAGACGTAAAACACAATTTGATGATAACAGTTAATATCATCATAAGATGATTCATGGATAAAAAGGGTTATTCGTTTTAAATGTTCTTTCTTTTATTCTTTAATTATTTTTTTTACGATGCATTGACACCTACCTCTTAATATATTTCGATTTAAAATAACTAGGGAAAAAAAACTCTCTTTTGAACTTCTCCAAGGTCAACTCTAAACTACGCACTACCATTTTTAGTTTTAAGGGGGCACACAACACATTGAAAGTTAGGATAGGTTCCATTTAACTGAAATGTAAATGTCCTCAGGTAATGAGCTATGTCAGTGCCAGTGTTTCCCCTAGGATGGAGTCATAGCAGTGCTAAAGCACGCGAGCCCACCAAAATGTGAGCGCGGAGCCCGTGGAATTTTTTAGTGTGCGAAGTGTGCCCCGCCAATATGTTTCTATGTGTCTGCCAGCACAAGAAAGGCTCTTGAGGCTTAGTACATACAGTGGACATATCTCAAGATTTAGCTAAATACACCTTTATTGAACATACAATAATGCAAATACTACAAATCCACATAACAATCAAAAATCAAAAAGGGTCGCCGCCACTTATTATTATTTTAATAAAAAAATGAAAATAGTTTTTTGCGCCACCGCTATTTGTATATAGTGGAAACACTGAATGCTGTGTGTGTGTTCTGTTGAATAAAATGCTGTGTGTTTGCGTGGTATTTTTGTGTGTCACGGTAGAGAGTTGAATCCCACACGACCCAACTTCTATTACAATGATTGAATTAAGCAAGTCGGATCGTAAAAAGTGAATTTGTATGCTTTTTAACGACGTCTCAGAAACAAAATAAAATTTATGGAGGCACAGTTTCAATGCAAAACAGAGAGAGCGGTTCAGATGTGTGTGTGTGACTGTGAGAATGCATCATCGCAAGAAACACACACACACAAACAGAAGAATACCTCTTTTCAGCAAAATAGTTGCAGTTCAGTTTGTGGCATCCAGACTTTGTTTCAACTTTAACATGATAATCATTTACACCAATTTAGCAATTTGTAGAGGAAGCCCAATTGTGCTGGATCACAATGGAAGAATGCGCGACTGTGAAACTCTGGAGAATAGGAACCGAGGCAAAGTGACTGACTGTGGCTATGAAACTATCCGTGTAAACTTCAGATCTAATTAAGATCATGTGGAAATTATGTAGTGCAGATGTGACTGTAATGTGTGTGCAGGGCTTGCGTCGTGTGCTAGCGTTCCCTAATATATAAAGTGTCATAGCTGCACAGGGACCTAAGAGAGAATTAGGAAGAGTTGTTGAGGTACTGTGTGTGTGTGTGTGTGTGTGTGTGTGTGTGTGTGTGTGTGTGTGTGTGTGTGTGTGTGTGTGTGTGTGTGTGTGTGTGTGTGTGTGTGTGTGTGTGTGTGTGTGTGTGTGTGTGTGTGTGTGTGTGTGTGTGTGTGTGTGTGTGTGTGTGTGTGTGTGTGTGTGTGTGTGTGTGTGTGTGTGTGTGTTCTAACTAGAAAAGGAGTTGTTGGTGTGAGACGGTGAGGAGGAAATGGTCTTTACAGCCGGCCGCCCTCTTACTCACCCCACATGTAACATCTGTGTGTTTGTAGTTGACCACACTGTGTGGAGAAGGGGGGGGATTACCTGGGGGATCATAAATCTACCTGTTTAAAGACAAACTGTTGGTCAAAGTAGCAGTTTTTTTCGAATTTGGTGACATCTAGCGATGAGGTTGCATAGTTCAGAGTTGTACGAGGGAAAATAACTATGGATCCTAATGATTCAAATAAGGACTATACATGTGTTCGTACATTGTTTATTTAGTTGATAAAGAATTATCCTTTGATTTACAGAGGTCTCTCTCCAAGTGTAATTCAATAGGGACAAGTCTTTTTGGGCTCGATGACGTCACGGACTGACACAGAAGTTGTAGTACCACCTACGATGATTAGCATCTTCCTGAGCTACTGTACAAATCATAGTGGAGCAATATGGCAGACTCCCTCCACTCCCTTTGTACATTTGAATGGCTAATTTTAAACTAACGAAAACACAACAATTATTAATCTTGATACACAGAGTAATAATATTACATTTCTACCAATCATTCTCCAAAACTCCTACACAATAGTTCTTTAACCAGTTAAGCCCCATAATATTAACAATTTTTACCGAAACAAAACACAACTCTAATGCTGAGCCTCTGAATTAGCCCTGAGCGAAATAATGCTTACGCACTTAGCACAGACAGAACACACGGTATACATACCTTATTACTTATCGGATCTGCACAAACAAGATATCACACGAAAGCTGAGATTCCACAGATTCTAGAGTTTTACGTATCCTCACTGTGCGACCAAAACTCGCGGCAGCAAATGCGAATCCAGACAACACACAGCGTAGCTTTACGGAGCCAAAACGGCAAAAAACTTCTTACCTTTGCTGTTTTCTGATGAAAAGTTGTGTTCAATGGCATTAAAACGATAAAAACGCTGCTGAAGGTTAATCCAATGTGTCTGTGTCCCTTTGAAATTATTACTGATAATCCATCTTCATGTTTATGTCAACAATGGAGTTTTCATATATAGCTGCTACTGTATGATAGCTACGAGAGTGTATGACAGCTTCCGGTTTTGGGCATTCTGGCTACGCATCACTCATTCACCAATGGGTAATGTTTAGATGGATTTTAGGAACTTCCCCTCGATTCTATTGGCTCTAATGGTTAAAAGGAGGTGTCAATCATCAAAATCGACCGACGGATTCCAGAGATATGGAAAATACACCCAAATGACCTAGGAAGTGTTTTTTTTTTTTAAATATCTCTAAAAATATCAAATTTCACTTGTTTTGCATCAATATTGATACAGGGTACTTATTTTATGTTTGGATTCCTAAAGCTTGTAGTCTACCATCCCATCATTCAACGGTGTTTTCACTATAAGTAATGGTTTTATTTTGGACAGAAGCTATATTTTACATTTCTTTTACTATGTTCAATC